AGTACATTTGTACTTAGTAGTATATTTAGTTGTTTACATTATAGTATTTTGTGAAATTATGAAATGAGTTTTGATCATATTTCAATTATTGTATTGCAATAAATGGTTGACTGTGTGATTCTGAGGAGTTCTAATGTGGAAGGAAGATTTTCTATACTGATGTTAAATGCACATTGTAGTGCCAAGGCACATTCCGATGTTATATGCATATTATATTATTAAAATTCTTCTAATTATGTCTGTTGGGAAGCATAAGGGTTGAAATTCTCCAAGCTCTTCTATTAGGAGTCATAAAAGTCATCATTCTCTAAATTTTGTACTATGATGCACCAACACCTCTCCTCAATGAGGCGTGTAGTGTCTGATACGTATCCAACATGACACGATTCTGAAAAACCTCTGGCACGTGTCATAAATATTTTATGATTTTGTAATATAATTTCTTGTATTTTAAATTTGTATGTATTAAAATATAAAAAATAAATTTCTTATTTCCCCTCCATAATACCAAATCAATTGCTCACACTCAATACCTTATTCATCAAATATTCTCATTTTCATTTCTCTTTAGTGGATCGCAAGTTTAAATTCACAATAATGGGTGATGTCATCTCAATATCGACGTCTAACATCATTACAACATCAACATTTCAAAATTAGCTCAACATAAGTCTGACACTGTCTTGACATTAATGCTCGGTGCTAGCAATTTCTATACCCACAATTTAACAATTCATCTTTGTCCGATGCCATCTTAGCATCAACAACGAATGCCCTTTCAACATAGATGATAGATGTCCTCTTAACATCGATGTATGATACTTGTCGTCTCCTCACTTGATATATGATACACAACATTAACACCCGACCATCGATATTCTAATATTAATTATTTTAAGCACAAATTCTAGTTATATGATTTATTATTTCTAAATTATTTTTAATATTATACATATTCAATTTTTATGCATTGTTTTTAAAATATAAAAATTATATTACCATGTCCAACCCGTCTCTGTGTCACATATTTATTATTTTCAATAATTGATGTGTCCATTATCTATGTTGTATCCGTGTCGGCGTGTTCGTGTCTATGCATCATAGATTTTATCAAATATGATGTGCATTACTCTATTGTGCTTAACGGAGCTTTGGAGGGGTATTTTTCTTCGTCTGCTGGACTGAGACAAGGGTGTCCACTTAGCCCTTACCTTTTCTGTGTGGTGATGGATGCTCTCTCATGCCTTTTGGAGGAACGTGGGTTTATTGGTATCTCTGCTGATAACTTCTCTCTTTCTCATTTGTTATATGCTGATGATGTGCTAGTTTTTGGAGAGGCCTCTTTAGAAAACTGTCAAAAGCTTGCCAGTATTTATAGCGACTTTGGTATTGCCACGGGGTTACAAATTAATCTTGACAATAGTGCTATAATGTTTCCCAAACATCAAATCTCTCATCAAGACATTTGTAACACCCTATCTATTCACAATATCACTACCAAGATTACCTATCTAGGGATTCCCCTCTCCTTCCAAAGGCTCAAGATTGAAGATTTTCTTCCTTTAGTGGATAAAATCAATAAAAAAATGAATGGTTGGAAAGCTAACTTGTTATCTTTTGCTGGTAGACTGCAATACCTTAAGTTTACCATCCAAAACACTATTGGATACTGGATCCGGGGGGCAATTTTGCCTAGAACTATTGTTAAATTTTTGAAGAAGGCCAGCTCTAGATTCCTTTTTTTCGGTGATTCCAATCAGACTAGGAAGCTGCACATGTTGTCTTGGGATGTTATCTGTCGTCCTAAACTAAAAGGTGGTTTGGGTGTTCCCTCATTTAATGCTATGCAATTTGGTTTTAACTGCTCTGTCATTCTCAGAATGTACAATTCCAACTCTCCTCTGTCCTCTTGGTTTCTCAGTAAATACCGATCCCCTTGGCGTCAACCACCTTCCTATGCTTCTAAGCTCTGGAAGTCTGTTTGCAGG